GTAGGGTCTGTAGCAATAGGTCAAGAGGTAATGATTTTAAACTAAGAGAGGGTAGATTCAGACTAGATACAAGGAAGAAATTGTTTACAAAGAGAAACACTGGAACAGGGTGACCAGACTGGCAGTGGATGCCCCAATCCTGGAAACATTCAAGTTCAGGTTGAAGGGTCTTTGAGCAACCTGAACTAGTTGAAGATGTCCCTGCTCATTACAGGCAGGGTAGAGATCTTAAAAGATCTCGTCCAACCTAAACTACTCTATGATTCTATTAGCTCACTCTTGCTGCCTGAGCTGGTACAGCCTGAGAGAAGGCAACAGATGGACAGAAAGAAAAGGGTCCAAAATGCAACCCCGACAGGCAGCTACAGGAAGATTTAGGCTCATCAGTTGTGAACACACAGAAATCTGGGGGAATGAGGCTGAGGTGCAGGAGGCAGTGGAAGTAGTTCAGGAAAGAAGGCCAGAGAATGAAGAAGGGAAGGCACAGCAGGCAGGCTTACTTATAAAGAGTGTGGCAAGCACTTCAAGAAAAACTGATGTCTTATTTTGGTGCCAGTGATCACAGAGCAGCAGAAAATACTCAAGCCAGGAAACAGAGACAACAATAGTAGCACAGTGGAGGGCAATTCCAAGCTCCTGTAATAAGAAGATGTGGAATTTCTGCTGTGCCACTAAACTCTGCAACAGAAACTGATATTTTCAAGGATGTACCTTTCCTCCTGAGATCTATACAGGCATTGTCCAATTCTCTGAGAAATACCATGCAAAATTGTTGCATTGAATTATCTCTTTGAGAGGGATTTCTAACCTTTGGCAAGAAAATACACTGGTCAGCAAGCACTTGGTATATCTCACCCAAGCGAGTACGTGGTCCTCTCCCTCAGCTGCTGATGTAAGGCAACATCAATTTGGTATCGGAAGGGGCAGCTGCCTTTCAGAACAGGTGGTAGACCACTAACAAAGTAATGTTGCTAACAAAATGTTGCTGCATTGTCACCAGTGTCAGCCTTAACACAGTTCAAACTCCAAATGCACAAACTTTTTCTCATGGTAACACAGCAAACCTGTTATATGCTACGTTTCTTCCACACACAGGATTAAACATGGTTATCAAGATCCGTGCTTTTCTGCCCTGACAGATGACACACATATAACGTATGGATAAAGCTGAAAATCTCATTATTGCACAATTTCTGTATCAGTTGGGCTCTGCAGTCAGAAGTACCTACATCTCCCCGTGGCCCTTAAATATTGGCTTCAGTGTCAGGAACAAGAGAAAACAATTGAAGAATGACCTTTTTCAAGGGTATACAACAGGTAGTGAAATTTTCAAACGGGTAAATCGCAAATTACTGTTTGTAAAAATAAAGAAATTAATAAACTCTTCAATGCAACAGGATGGTAAATAAGGTGTGAGTACCACATCCTGCCATTGCTGGGCAGACAAGGGCCCTTCTCTAAAGCTGTCAGGACAGAGGAGTGCTGGCTTGCTGAGGAGCAGCAGCACTCCCACCACAGACTCTGGCCTTCCCAGCCATGGCAAAGGGGAAAGACACAACTTCTGCCCATTAGCCATCCCCTGAAAAGGGCAGGAGGTGGGCTAATCTGTGCTCAGAATCCCAGCCTGTGCTACGTCTCCTGATTGCCCACATGTGAACATGACAGGCACTGCTGATGAGCAGCTTATCTTTGGACTTCTGTTCAGGGAATAAGGATTTTAAAGGAGAAGAGGTTTTATCTGATGGGTGGACTTACGTGTACACAAACTACTGCCACTTCGATTTTAAAGAGATTTGAAAAAAAATAGGGGTGGTTCCTTTTCCTCTCTTTGTAAATATTTTATGCCCCTGACACCTTCTACTACAACCATCATTCTTCTCCAGCCGATCAAACCAAACAACCATGGCACTGCGTGTGCTATGCCTGCTCCTTTCATCCCAGCTCTTAATTTAGCACAAAGGAAACATTTCCTTATGTTACCGTAGGAATCACTCTGTCTGTTTTAAAAGTGCTCATTCCCCCTCCAGTCTCAGAAGCTGTGATTCCCGAGGAACAAGAAATTGCTGAATCGGGCACGTTGCTGAATCGGTCACCAGTCGGTTACAGTTAAGAGAAGGAAAAACAGCAGAAGTCAGCCAGCGGCTGCTGCCTTTCCCAATTGCCAGCACCAGGGGCGGCTGTGAGCTGCTGGGGCTCCCTGCCCTTGTTCACTGCCGGAGATCAAGCGTTTCTGCTCCTGGCTAAAGAGGAATTAAGCGTTCTTGGTACAGCGAGCTAGAAGTAATAATAATCACGACGAAGGGGTAATACAAGGGCCAGAGACCTAAGTACCGTGAAAAGATTCCTTACTCCCAATTTGCCAGTGCAGTCCCTGCTGCCTTAAGTTAGATTCCATGCCCCTGACTACCTTAAAGCTCTGTTCTTCTGGAGACAGCCAAGCCACCTTATTAAACACAACTACGGTAGAAAAAAAAAGATATGCTCCTCTTCCAGTATGTGATCCTATATACGAGGCAGGCAGAAGCATTAGGGGCAGAGAAAAGAGGATTGCAGCAGTAGCTTTAACAATGGTAAGAGTGGAATTAATACCCATAATTATAAAGCAAGCGCTGGCAGAAGCAGCAACCTCCCATCCTCCACTTGTCCTTCTTCATGGGGTGCTTTGCTACTGTACTTTCTGTGCAGTAAGAGGCACTGATGGTGATGCTTAGGGTAACAACACGTGTAAATACTTTCTTCCTTTTCAATTTATCTATAGAAGTGGCCCTTTTTTGGTTTTCCTTTAAATATGCCCTTCTTAGCCTCTCATTTGTGGAACTATATTAAAATAAAATTAAATCAAATCTAACAGCTAACAACTTAGTGACGATTCAAAGGCTTTTTTAGAAAGGCAAGTTATCAGTATAAACTGCACTATCTCAAGGACTGTCAAAAAGAGGGATGTGGAGCCCTGATAAAGGTATAACCATGGTCTCACAATGCTGTCTTCTGACAGTTGTGGCTTGGTTTTCACACCTTTGGTTCTCATAACATATATACACACTATATGTACTTCAGCATGGGGTGTTCAATGCTTTCTCTGTGTAACACTTCCCAAGCATGTGAAGCAAAACACTGTGCCTTTTCTCTGAGAAAGGAGGCACCCCGTCTATCACAAAACCTCACCACTGCTCCTGTGGAACTCTGAAGACAGCTCACTCCATCACACTCCAAAGCAAATAATCCCTATTCATTAAGTTAAATTGAAATTTGGAGAACAATAAAGTCACAGCTAACACTGAGCTGCGTTATTCTGCTTCCACCCTGCAGATACCAACAGTACACACCTATTTCAATGTTGCTGATATGCCCACTCAGCTACCTCAAGTGTTATACACACAACCGTTTACAATACAAATTTGAATGCAGCAAGAGAGACTGAGTATTCACCTTTTTTTTTTTTCTTCCAAAACAGTGGTACCCAGCCTGCTGCTAGCTATTTGCAATGAAGTTGCCTGAAAGATCCTCACTTGTAAACTGAGATCCTCCTGCAAGAGGCCCAGTATCTGCATGTCCCCCTGCAATACTGACACACCAAGCAAGGCTGGGGAGTCCACATATTTCTGTGCAATTTCATGCTGCCTGTTCCAGCTACAATTGCACCTACCTGTCTTGGGGGAAGGTGGGGGTTGAGAGCTGGATCACACTTACTGCAAAATGATTCATAGCCCATAAAGTAGGCTCCAAATATGCTAAGAGCTTGGAGAAGTCTCATACTGAAGGGGTACTGATGCTTATAGTATCACTGGCATGAATACATGTGCGTTCATAAACCAGTTGCAGATTGTCCCTGAACAGTCCCTCTTAGGGCAGACCAAAGCAACCCTAGTCAGGATGCAGAAGCATGGCTCTAACAGCCATAGTGTGAAAAAGACTGATTACCATCCAGACATTGTAACATTATTAAGAAAGTCCACCTTGTTTCATCTGTCTCCTGCCACCTACAGAGGCCACGCCCAAATCCTTCCTTATCTCCTGCACCATTTCAGAGTACAGATTGTATTCAGCGTATCTGTAGCTATCCTTGACAAACAAGTCTGAAGCAGTAATGGCAGCCTTCTCTTTTGCTTACTGCTGTAGCTCACGATAAAAATACCGTCTTATATATTCATATAGCCACATGCTGGTATTTAATAGTACTGGAAACTCTGGAAAACCACACTAGCATACCTAGGGTTTCCCCCCTGCTCTGCAAAGACTTTTTGATTTACTTAGAGCGTATCTGCCTCTTCCCATTTTGCTTTATTAAGAGACTCAAGAGTACAGATCGCCCCATAGCACCTGCCAGACCCCTCAGTCCCGGCCTAGCCGCTCAGTATTCCCGCTCCCAGGGTAAAACTGGAGGCGGTTTGTACCCTCAGCGGCACCTCGCTTTCCATGTGCCCGGTAAGGGCGGGGGGTGGGTGGAGGCCTTCGCCGTGGCACCGGCTCTTGCCCCAGCCCTCACCCGCCCTGGCCGGCTCCACCGACAGCCACCATAGCTCACCCTGTTCCACCCTCGCCCCCCCTCAGGCAGGCGGAGTGCTGCCAGCGCCCGCCGCGTGGCGGCCACGTCGCCCCCCGCCTGGCCTGAGGGGGGGGGGGGGGGAGGTGGGCCAACCGACGCCAAAGCCAGCGTCAGCGGCGCCACCGCAGCAGCCCCGACACCAGAGCTGGAGGGGGAAGGAGAAGGGGCGTCCCTTCCGCTATCACTCACGTTCCGGTCGCGGGAAAGCCCGGGCAGGAGCGGCAGCGCCATAGCCGCCCCGGCCCGCCGGGAGCCCCCCGACAAACCCGCTCTCCTCCCGGCCCGAACCGCTGGGGGCGCCGTTGCCTGGAGACCGGTGGCGTCACGGGGGGTGCGGCAAGGGGCGGCGGGGCCGTGCAAAACCGAGCATTACCCAGTCTCAAGTCTTGCCGAGAGAGGCCCTCCAGAGATCGGTCGGCTTCGGCTCGGGGATCGTGGGCCCCGCAGTCACGACCCATGCCCGCTCCCTACGGCCCCGCCGCCGGTTCCCCTGGTGTTAGCGCCTGCCCGCCCAGGCGGTATCGGAGGGAGGCAGGAGCTGGATTTTGTCCTCCGGAGCCCCGGCCCCGCGGGGGTGCGTCGGTGCGGGCTCAGAAGCGGGAGGCTGGTCAGTGCTTGTGGCTTTTGGGGACCGAACCAGAATTAAGTGCGAATCGGTGTGTTTAATTTTCCAGAATTCACTTCCATCTTCTCCACAAATCTCTCTAGATTTCCCTCAGGCCCAGAGCTCTGAGCGGCCCTTTCCTTCCCTCATCTTGCACCTGCTGGATGGGGTCCCCCCCAAAAGTAATGTTGGAACCGGGGTCATGGATGGGGCAAATCCCACCACGTTTCCATTTTCTGCACATATTAATTCTCACTGTTCCCCATTTTGTGAGTTTAATACAGCAAATTTTACTGTGGGGCCCTGCCGAGCTTGGAATGCGGGGGGTGGGATGCTTTTCCATCTTTTGTTTGGTTTATTTTTCGCATTTTCGTCCACCGGGATGGTGAAACTAGGTCAGTGGGTTTCCACTTTCTGGTTTCCCAGTGCTGGATTATGCACCTGTATTTGCATTTAGTGCGGAAAGGTAAACATTTAAAGTGTATTTTAATTGAAAATGAAAGGAACCATCATTTTAATCACATTCGTTTCGTACAGTGGGTGGTATTACACTCAAATTTAAATTTCAAACAGAAAATACACTGAAAGTTTCTCACGGATGGCTTAGGGGGGGAGAGCTGTTTCTTTCTTTAATGGAAGTAACATTTTCCTTGTTAATAAGGGAGGATGCCTTCCAGATTGCCTCCACAGCCTATTCCAGAGAACAGCAACTATGCCATGTAATGTTCCTCCATTTTACATAAAGCTGTTCATTAATATATTTTTTTAATTAGAACTGCTTTTTACAGAAAAAAAAGTTTATGGACAAAATAGTTAAGATATGGATAAAATAGTTAGCTGAAACCCAAATATTTCAATTCTGATATGCCATCATGCTGTCTCAGAGGAGCTGTACTTCAGTTGCTTCATGTCCTTATTCTCATAGAAGGAGTGGATATCCCCTGCCATATTTCATACTCTATGATGCATTAGACCATGAAATTCCCATAACATGTCATCTCTTTTCCCTGAAACAGAGGCTCATGGAAAAGCATGGGCAATGTGTTCAATCTGAATGAGCCCAGGAGGTGCTCCCTGTGCAGCATTCGCTAACTGAATTGGTATTTGCCAAAAAATGTTCTTATTTCAAAACCTGAAATTTCAGTGAAAATTCTTTCACTTTTTATTTTTTTTTGCCAAAAGTTGCCCCATCAGCCTTGGCCTGGGAAGGGAAAAGGGAAGAGGTGCAAATTCTGAAAAAGTCATTGCAAGACACACAGCACTGTGGCACTTCAGCAGTGAAGCTCTTCAGCATCACCCATTGTTCTTTGCATGTTCATGTGATCTCCAGTATCCTTTCAGTATGTCTTTTGACAAACACTGCACAGGAGACAGCTAGCATACTCAAAACATACCTTTCAGTTTTGGCAGCTGTCATTAGGGAGTGAGGATCTCCAGGAAGTGATTGGATCCATTTTATAACAGGTATGTGCCAACACGTCTCTGTGAGATTAGCAAACCAGCCTAGTTGTGGGTTCATGCAGAATCCCCATAGGCCCCTTGCAGCTAACGGCACAATTTCTCATTTAGGGTAGCAGCCATCAACAAAACAAAACAGTGAAGAGTTAGTGTCTTCTTTCACTTCATTTATCATTCAGAATTGGTATCTCCTGTTTGGGTTTTGTGGCTTTTTATATAGTGGGGAGGTTTAAATGTCTTAATTCTCTTCTGATATCAATAACAAAACTGTTGTTCCAAGTGAAAAACATGCAAGAGAAACAGCAGCACTTCTTTAGGAAGGTTAATGAGGGGCACAGCGTCAGATTCCAATGCATTTCCCACAGAAAATCCCATGAATGGTCCCTAGCCTTCAGGTCAAATTTTTCTGCATAACATTACCTTCTGCCTCACCCAGAAAAGAAGCCTCAGGGAGCTGCAGAGATGGGAAGCATCTTTCTTTTACACCAAAAGCATAGTTACAATGTGATGTTTTCCACCAGACTTCAATCATTCTTTTGCTTTCAAAAGTGAACCGTTCCCCAACCCAAACCAAAAAGTATATTCTACTTTAAAACAGAATTGCTTCTTTCTACATTACCTTCTCTTTGGGGTTTCTCTTACATGTGTTGTCTTTTTTATTCCTTCTATAGTCACTCAATACAGACCAAGTGAAAACAAATTAATTTTAATGCCTTTTCTGGGAAAAATAAAAGTACTACAGAAAAAGCATTTTTGATAAAAGCTTTTTATTAAATGAGGATTGTTAATGACAACAAAGGCAAGTAGTTGGCAGTAGTATATTAACTGTATATTCTGACAGTACTCTGCTGCTGATAATAGTGGTGAATGTACGTAAGACTGTATTATTTGTACAGTTCAAAGGAAGGAGGGGAGCTAAAGCTGAAGAAAACATGGAAAATACTGTTTTTGTGAAGAAAAGACAGAGATTCTAGTCTCTTTGTACTAGGATTGTGTTTTTCTAGCAAACTTGAAATCAGTGAGGCTGCTCAAATTGTGAACTTCTGAGGAACTCGGAACTTTTCAGAAAAGGCTTATCTTTTGAAAAAAAAAAAAAAAATAAAATTGGGTTTTAGTCTGACCAAATGCCATTGGCTCCAGGGCCTCATTAGTCCATTTGTCTGAGTGGAAGACCAGGTCTTCCACTTCCAAGCTGTGTCGGTTTAGATTAGGAAAGTTTGACTAAAATCAGCATAATTTAGTGTCACTTCACTGTGAAGATGTCTCTGCTTCTGTCATATGTTTTACTACATCCTCTTTCTGGGACTGGTTTTACAGGCTATGTTAAGGCTGGGCTGTCCGAAATTAGATTATTCCCAGGCTGCCTAGTTCGAAGTGAATTATGTTCCCATGTGGATCATCACGCAAGCACCCTGGAACTTGAACAGAAGTTGAACTCTGACATGCACTTAATTCGGTACCAGAAATAAAGGATGGAAAACTATTCCTATAACTACCTTACCTATAAATTCCTTAGGCCTTTCTTAGCAAAATACCAGACACTAATAGTCATTGCAGAAATCACCTACGGGGTAGGATGAGAGGAATCAAACAGTTACACACACAGAGCTATCTGTAGCTAACTAGCATACAGGGATAAAGAGCAAATCATTTTGTTTTCAACAGTCAATGAACATGTAGAAAGTGTATGAAGGTACTTCTTTGGGGCCAGAAGACAACGCACAGACTATAATTTTTGGCTGCAGCTGTGGGGTGTTTCAGAGAACACACACAAAGAAAATAGGGCATTTTTGAAGCTATGGGTCTGTGCTGGCCATGTACCACACAGGTGTTTGGCACATTATTGCTGCAGCTGCTCCCTGCCCCAAGAAGACAAGGTATTAAGCATGAATTTCCACAGCTCATAGTCCATAACCTTTTTCTCCTGGTGATGCTATGGGGATAGGAGAAAACAGTTACATCCAAACTGGTCTCATTGGAAGGTTTCCTTAGGCCAAATGATCCCTCTGAGGCCAGTTGTTCTGATTCAGCACATAAGGCCCATTTGCACTTGAATCACCTTGCTCCAACTTGCAAGGCCTTTTGGGGAAGAAAGGCGTTGAGCAGGGAGAAGGGTAGAAGCTGTGGTACCCCCAATGGTGATGCCTCCCTGGTGCAGCCTCCATGCAGGAGGCTGGTTTTCCTCCCTTCCTGTCCCCTCCCCCTTACACATCTCACAAATTCATCAGCCTCTGGAAACTTGATGGAAGAAGTTTTCCTTGTTCACAGAACGAGGTTGGTTTTACATAAGCTCTTTTACATAAGGTGTGAGCTTTTGAGGGATGTTTGCAATCAGCCCAATTTCCCTGTCACTGAAGTTGGGGAGAATATGAGGGGACACTTTCTTCAGTCCCCCACACTTCTGAAAGTACATGAGAAAGAAATATGCTGGGGTAGTAGATTCCTTCGAGATGCCCCCGCTGCATATATTCAGTGAGATATGCAGTATGGAGTAGCTGTTCAGTTCCTCTTCACCCTCCTTATGTGGTCTGATTTGAGATGCAGCCACACTAGTAAAATGAACCTGACAGAAAAGCCTCTAATTTAATTCAGAAGCAGAATACAGGGGTTTTTTTACAATTAAACTGTAGTTGTGCGTTTAATACAGCATGCAGTAATTGCTGGGAAAAGTAGGAAAAACCCATGATAGGTAACATAACTAACAAACCTACAGGGGGAAAGTAGGAATACAGCACTTGGCAGACACATAACCGTTCATCAAAACACAGTGAAGGCCTTCAGGTTATGTCACCACCTGCACAAGGACCAAAGCACGTGTTCATCCCTCCAGATAACATCTGTTTCAGAATTGTCGTGGTTTAAAACCAGTCAGGCAGCTCGTTCACTCATTCCCCCCCTTCTTTCCCTCCCTCTACTCCCAGAGGGATAGAGAGGAGAGTCAAAAAGAATGCAACTCCCACGGGTTGAGATAAGAACAGTTTAGTAACTAAGGTATAACACAAATCACTGCTGCCACCACCAATAATAATAATGATAAGGGAAATAGCAAGGGAAGAGAATACAACACCTCACCACCCACCGACCGATAACTCATCCCGCCCCACCCAACCGAGCACCCATACTTAGTCCAAGCCTGCAGAGAACTAGCCCTTCCGGGTAACTACCCCCAGTTTATATACAGGGCATGACCTGCTGTGGTATGGAATACCTCTTTGGCTAGCTTGGGTCAGATGTCCTGTCTATGATTCCTCCCAGCTTCCCCTCCTCCCTGGCAGAGCATGAGGCTCAGAAAGTCCTTGGCCAGACCAAACATTTGAGCAGTAGCTAAAAGCATCGGTGTTATCAGCACTGTTCCCAGGCTGAAAGTCAAAACCACAGCACTGTACCAGCTACTAAGAAGGGGAAAAAATGACTGCTACTGCTGAACCCAGGACAAGAGTGAAGACAAATTACTTGGGAATGTGAAGTTTCCGTTGCCGGGGGCAGCCTAAAAGGGCAGCCACCCCAAGACAACTTCATGAGAGCAAGGGAAATGTCACTGTCACCTCCACTGCAGCATCCAGACACCTGATGACAGTGTCAGACACTACAGAATGATGGCCATACTCATGGCCACAATAAAGAAGGGAGGCAGCTATTTCCCTCCTGAGTATATTTGTGTTTCCTTCCTTTACTCCTGCCCTGTTTCGGATGTCAATGGGAGCGAACCCATCCACGTCACAAACATTTAATGACTTTCCTCTTCTTGCTCTCACAATGCCTTGCTGACAGAAATGAGGGGTTTGGCTCAGCAAGAAGTGTCAATACACATCTTTCCTCCTTTCCACCAGTGGTGTAACGTGCCTGGAGCTTGAATCTCCATGCTGTCAAAGCTCTCCCCTCCAGCCAACAAGGCACTGCAAGAACTCAAAAACCCCAGCCCCGGCTCTGTTCAGCCAGACTTACCAGTCCGTTTCCTTCTGCCTAGGAAAATTCTGTCAGCATTTCTCCAAATCTTGTAAGTTGCCTTGAGGATATGCCATTGGTTGAGGCTGTATGACTGAATTTCCTCCCTCTCCACAATCCTCCGTTTTCCAGGTTCATCTCTTCAGCTGATGGATAAAACAACAACAACAAAAAATCCCCGACAATTTTTAAAATTCCCATGGCAATAAATAGATAGATGGATTACAGTCAATTACCAGAAGCAGTTATTGATCAAGGCTGGTTTAGAAGTATACTTGCTTTCTGCAATCAAGCTTACAATACAATTTGCCCTGCATTCAGCATCTATTTCAATTAAAATGAAAGGGGAGGAAATGTCACTTATTTTAAATAAAAAGCTTTCAAGCTATGCTTGCAGTCTGCTTTGAGGATCTAGGACAGATCAAAGCTGCTTTGAGAACTCATCCATTCTGCTTCAAATATGATAGTGCATTGTCCATAGAAAAAATCAAGGCAGTGTAAGATATCAAAGGAGAAAGTACATTTTGGGCTTCCAGGCAGTGGTCTCAAACCTGGTGAAGTCTGCCAGAATAATAATGGAACAGGGGTGACATTAATCCCCTCAGTCAGAGAGACCAAGACACTGACAATTGCGGGCACTGCACCAGAAACGGTTTCTTAAATTAATCAAGCTCTGCCTTAATGATAATGAGGTCATCTGTATGGATCAAAAGCCTTGGTCAATGCCAGCTTCTCAAAACTTGAAATCAGTCAATTATGAACAAGTTAGGAATTGAGGTTTACCCCAAACCTAATCCCTTTGCTGATTAGGACGTTATTCTAACTTCCAGCCTAGAGGCATCCAAGGGAAACATATCCTGAAAAGGATGAAAATCCTTATTTTGGCATTGTCCTTTGAGTAATGTGTCTTTTGTGCCGTTTGATGCCTACTCCTTGTGTAATGGCAGATAGCAATCGCATCTCCTTTCACCTCTTTGCCAAGTTTAGCGAACCAGACATTTTGGCACTCCACTGTGTGATAGTTCATCATTCTTCTGAACACCTAATTTTGTCTGCTTTTCTCTCTGCCTGTTCCAGTCTGTGTCTTCCTTGAATAAAGGTGGCTATTCACAATAACCTAAAAGAAGTCTCACCAAGGTGCTGCACTGTTCCAGTCACTCTCATCTCTGCTGTGACTCTGCTGTGTCTTCTCAATATTTCTTTCTCCTGTCTTTCTGCTTTCTTGGGCTTGTGCTTCCTCCTACCCCTTCTCATTTCCACTCGTACCACTTTTTGTGCTGCTGCTTTTCTTCACTGCTGCTTTTCTCATCAAAGGCCAAAATAAGTGAGAAAAGTGTCAAGTCCCCCTTTCCAAACCTGTTGATTGAACGTGCTGAAGAATAAGTGGTCTGCAGGGAATAAGATTTCTTGGGCTGTTAGTTTGAATGGAGCTGTCTGGTTCAGCCTTGTCAAGTCTCTGAGCACAATTTCTTACTGCAGAGCTCCACTGCTGCCCTTCTTCTCTCTAAATGTACTCTGAAGGGCTTTTGTATCAGTGTGTGAGGGGTATGGGTAAGACCTAATGTAGGGCATAGGAGAAGCAGACTTCATTATCTGTCAGAGAAGTTTCATGCCCTTAAAATGTATTTTTCAAGGCAACTGGTCCTGATGTTGCATGGCCTGCTTCTCTTCTATCCATTGAAATTAGAGCCACTGTCCTGATGGTGTTTTGTCTATTTGTTTGGAGGTAACCTGTGATAGCACAGAAAGAAATGTCTTAACTTGAAGTTCAGTTTGAACTTGTGATTAAGCTCAGTTCTTTTTATGAAGGGTGTACCTATTCTTACTTGCTATGGTTCTACCTTAAAAACGGGTCAAACTCCAAATCTTGTCAATGAAAAAGATAAGGTTTAAATGATAGATGAAACCTTCTGTAATGCTAGACCACCACATTAGCTGGTCACCGGTATGTTCCACGCCACAGTGAGACCATATTTATTTTTGTGTGCTAAATGCTGTAGCAAGGATAGTTGACAAAGAAAGAAATGAGTTGAGGTTGAATCCTTAAGGGAATTTCAAGTTGAACAAAAACTAATGTGAAAGTTGAGACTGTAACAACCTCGGCAGTGTCCCTTTAAATTACGCTTAATAAATACCACGGAGCTGAAGTGTTCTGCATATATTTGTAACAAATGGTTGCACAAATATTTGGCTCCTAATGATGAACTAAACGGTATGACATTTGCCTGGGAAAATTAATTACTTTAACGTGTGTTGTATAAAATATGAGGTGATCATGTAATGTGTGTGTATACTGTAGAGTGTTGCTGAGTGACTAAGTTATTACCAAAGGAAATTTATGAGAAATAAACAAGAAATACTCAGAGATGCTGTAAATGTCATGTTATGCTCAAGGGCCTTTTGCGGCTGAATAATTTTTATGTGGATGAGGATGACAGGATCATGCAGCAAAAAAGTCACGTTAGAATGAGTTAATCTTTGTATTTGCACATAATTTTATTGGTATTTAATGTAGCTACGATGTTTCTGTTTCAGATTGTAGGGTCAATTCCTAATGAAGTTGACATAATCAAATCAAACTGAACTGAGTGATCCAGCATGGTCTCAGCACGAAATTTTAAATTGTCTCGGTTCAAGAAGAAAAGCTGCCTAGTAAAGAAGTGGGAAATAAATTGGTCCTCAAATCACGGCTGGTTTGGGCAAAATCATACTGCCTAATTTATGTGACCTTTTAGAAGACTGAAGTAATCTCCCTTAGAGGTGCTCCTCTGTGCAACTCTCACGTCTCGCAAGCAGGGAAGGTTTAGAGACCGCCAGATCTCTGCCCTCTCCTCCCGCTAGGATGCTCTGCAGAGTCTACATAAGGCTGCATACATGAAGAAGAAATGGAAAGCAGTGAACTGAAGAAACATGAACTGGCGAGGGAAAAGCAGATACATCCATTACTTCGCAAACAAAAAGTGTAGAACACTATGCACCAGATCTCTAAATCTGGTGGAAATAATATGGTTAAAATAATCATGTCCATCACACTCATCTTCTTTTCCCTAACTGAGAACCTCAGACAGGTGAGGCTCTTTCTTGAGCACCTAGCAGAATAATTTAAAAAAACAGGGCTGTTTGGTTTGGGAGGGATGAGGGGGGATGTCTTTGACTACTCCAGTAGTTATGAAGAACGTGATAAACTAGGGCACAGCCTGCTCAGTGAGTGTGTCACTGGCATTTTGTGATGCAGCAGCACTGAAAGCAGCTCCCCAGGTGGCAATCCTGGGGTCAGTTCCTACCACAGGAGAGCAACAGCTGGGGAGTGTGAAGGTGGAGGACAATGGTTGTGAGAGAGTTACAGGATTTTTAGGCCTCAGGGAGTGAAGGAAGGGTAACATAAACCTGAAGGCAAAGGACTTGAAGGCAGTAGACTTTAATGAACACAGGGGATACTAGCAAGTAAATTCTTATGATAGAATCAGAATCATAGAGTCACAGAATCATAGACTAGTTAGGGTCGGAAGGGACCTTAAGATCGTCTACTTACAACCCCCCTGCCATGGGCAGGGATACCTCACACTAAACCAACTCTGTCCAACCTGGCCTTGAACACTACCAGGGATGGAGCATTCACAACCTCCCTGGGCAACCCATTCCAGTGCCTCACCACCCTTACAGTAAAGAACTTCCTCCTTATATCTTAACTAAACTTTCCCTGTTTAAGTTTTAACCCGTTACCCCTTGTCCTATCACTACAGTCCCTAATGAACAGTCCCTCCCCAGCATCCTTATAGCCCCCCTTCAGATACTGGAAGGCTGCTATGAGGTCTCCACGCAGCCTTCTCTTCTCCAGGCTGAACAGCCCCAACTTTCTCAGCCTGTCTTCATAGAGGAGGTGCTCCAGTCCCCTGATCATCCTCGTGGCCCTCCTGTGGACTTGTTCCAACAGTTCCATGTCCTTTTTATGTTGAGGACACCAGAACTGCACATAATACTCCAGGTGAGGTCTCACGAGAGCAGAGTAAAGGGGCAGGATCACCTCCTTCAACCTGCTGGTCACGCTCCTTTTGATGCAGCCCAGGATACGGTTGGTTTTCTGTGCTGTGAGCGCACACTGAAGCCGGCTCACATTCATTTTCTCATCAACCAACCCCCCCAAGTCCTTCTCGGCAGGACTGCTCTGAATCTCTAGGAATCAAATCTATGGAAGAAAAGAGCTCCAGAAAGAGTTGATGGTTCGTGAAAGAAATTAAACAGACAAACAAACCACAAACAAAACAAAACCCCCACAAACAAAACCAAACGAAAACAAAATACAGTAGGAACAAAGTCACAAAATATTTTGGTGTGTAGAAAGGATAGAAAATGCAGTAAAAGTTATCTGTGAAATCACAAGCTCTTCAATAATCTCAAGTGCAAGAAGGGAGTGTGCAGAACATAGAAACTAGGTCAAATATCTAAAAATGAATGTTTAAAAAAACCTCAGTGTGAGCATACAGAGAAAAAATCAGGAGGTTTAAGGCACAAAATAAAATTTTTCTATTCTTTGCTTATTCTAATAGGGCATTTTAAAGGCATTTTTGATAGCAATGAAGAGGGAACCCAGAGGAAGAATTACTCCATGGGAAGGAAAATTGGCAGATGATGCTCAGAAAGCTTAGTGCCTTTTTTAAAGAAGACTAGAAGAAGACAAACAAAATGCTTCTGTTAAAAGTAGGGGCACGGAATTGTGGAGCCCGTGAATTAGGAATAATCACCATACCTGAGAAAAAGACTAAAACAACCAATCAGGTGATTTATAGTTCCATACAATTTAAAAATGAGGTGCAGCTTGATAAGATTTGCCTTTTTCTAAATCCACCAAATTGCCTTTTATAATGGGGAAACAGGCAGGGTGGTTGGAACTAGATGATCTTAAGGTCCTTTCCAACCCTAACTATTCCATGATTCTATGATTGTAGGTACAAGAGGAGCAATATGGGCCACACACAGGGTTGCGTGTGTGTGTGTACATGTGTACACGTGTGTGTGTACATTTGTGCTGAGAGTCAGGGAGGGACTGTACAGGCCCACCACAAATACACTCAGAGGGAGCTTTCAAACTGAGGCCGAATGTGAGATCCCGTGTGGTTCCTGCTGCCAGTGCTCCTGCAGCAGACTGTAAAATGCAGGGAGCACCTGAGCAGAAGGGAGCTGTGAGAAAGACATGAGTGGTGGGTGTGCTTTCGCACCTGGGAGCAGTTGTGGCCCTTTTGAAGAGGATGCGCAGCAAGGAGGGAGTGGGTGTGGAGCTTTTTGCTGGTGGGGCCTTTTGCTGCATAGCTTTGAGCATCCTGTGCTTCTGAGCTGAACAGCAGGAAAAGGTGTGGCCAAGGAGAAGACCCCCTTGCAAGTAAGAGGGAAGCCAACCTTCCCAGTGCTGACAGCAACCCAGATGCTTGTGCCAATGCCTGAAGGAGACCGCTGAATGTGGGGAAAGATGCTGCATGTATAGAAGGCCCAAGGTTCAAAGTATCTCTCTGGAGCTCTGATTCTTTATCTATGCTTAATGGACATAGTGGATAAGGCATGATAAAAAGGAATCCAGTTACACTAGGAAAATGCTCTAGTGCTGAGGATGGTGAAGAAGAGTGACATGCCCCTGCTGAGCAGAGCATCCTCATCTTCCATCTTGTAACAACAGGTTAGATAGATTTCTGCTAGGTATGGCTTAGGTATAACTGATCGACCCCAAGGTCAGTGGGATGTTTACAATGAGTTTGTGCAGCCTCTTTCATTATTTTTTTTCAGCCATATTATGGCTGGAGTAATGGCCTGGCAGGAACCTCACTGGAAAGGTGAGAGTTTTCACTCAGGGCCATCTGGCTCATCATTTGCTCTGAGGTGCACATTCAGGCTTGTTCCTGTGGTCTTTCCCCCTTGTGCACAGCTAGCAGCTGTGTCACTCAGTATACTCAATCAAGGACCAGTCCAGCGGGTGGGATATTTTGTCTCTGGGCATAGCTGTGCCAGATACCTTAGGGAGAAATGCAGAAGCTGTGTGAGTGGGTAACCAGTGAATAAACTGCTCATTCATGGAAGGGCAAATATGAGACTCCAGCTTCTACATTAAGAAGTTAAATCCTAATCTGAAGCGCTGCTACCCCAGCCCTGGGGCTGCTCACGTGTTAACCCTGGCTACCATAACTGTTGGTAGTCTCATTAGTTAGGGAGTGGATGGCATTCTTTTAATCCTGCAAGGCAGTTGAGGCAATGAAGTTTCACCCCCTCAATGAGTGGAACAGCCTTCCTTTCTCATCCCCTGCCTCTCAATGTCACTGATGGGTTTTGTTGTTCATGTGAAACAACTGGGAGGAGTGACAGGTCTACCTGCTCATGACTTCCTTAGCTTGTACACTTCTGACTGCTCCCTTCATAAATCAAAGAGCTTCCTCAGTCTAAATTTGGTTTTGTTCCCAACTTCCCTAACAGTTTTCATTAACCATACCTTACATTTTTGTGTGTATTGATAGAGAACGGGCTGACATTAACCTCTGTTTTAATGGATAAAACCAGGTTATTCGGAAGGATGGTGGAGAACAGTAATCTACTGAGATGCTTGAAATGCCTCCTAGGAGAGAGCCCTAAGGTTGCTGTTGTCTGCAGAGGGATCACAGGGAGAGTAAGCTGTTTAAGCTAAATTACCCCTTCTGAGTAGGTCTCAGTAGAGTGTCAGGCTGACCAGAACCAAATGCAATACTCCAGGGGAATCACTAAACCTTGATGGCACTGTAATGTCATAATAATGAGTGTGTTTTCCATCCCAACATCTGGTTTGTGATTTGACTGCTGGTTTACACTGAGCTTTCAGGTGAATGTCCCAGTCTTTCCTGGACTTTGTTGACCATGATTTAGGACCAAACACTGTTCAGAATGCTTTAGGTTAGTACATCTGCTGGACATGATTTTGCATTAATGAGCACCAACATAGCTTTGTCATCCCAGTGCCCACATGCTCATGCTGGACATGACAAGGATTCTTTCCTCTCCACTGGCTCAGCCTAACCTAAATAACTTTGTGTCACCTTCAAAGGTTGCTCCCCTACCTCTTTTCTAGATCACAAAGAGATACTGCAAATGCTACTCATCATGTTACACAATTAATTGGCATATTAATATTAATATAGGATCTAAAAAAAGACTGAAAAAACATTCCAGCTTCAAAGATAGAAGATGCCAGGATTAAGGCTTCTTATGTAGCTGTGATCTAAATCCCTCTGTACAGCAGTATAGGTTTTAGTCATGGGTATATAGATGATTATTCAGAGGAACCCTTCTTATTTAGGAGGCAGTATAGAGTCTGGACTAGATGGACTATTTTTCTGACCAAGGATGCAGTCTCTGGGTATATATGTGAATCTCCTAATAAGAAGCAAGTATGCAACTGTGGCAAAAATGGCCTGGGCTTGTTTGGGCTACCCAGTTAAGGTGAGGGGTTGACATCTATACACAAAAGATTTCAGCTACAATCCCCTTTTACTTCCTGTCTTCCCTCACCAGGATTCTTCCACCCTAGCACAATCTCAGAACTGGCAAAAGGAGAGGCTGACTTTTCTGTAATTTCTACAATCAGGAAAGTAAGCACTCCAACTTTGTTGTTCCCTGTGGAGACATCAACAGGCCTAAATTCTCTTCTGCATTTGTAAACAGCTGGGAAAGGCTGACCCTCAAACTGTGTCCATACTGCTTTTCTTCCAGATACCTCACCTAGCAGTTTGGCAGATTTAACAAATTTGCTTTGGGATGAAGGCAGATTTACTGGAA